ATACTTTGGATCTGGACTTGGTTAGGCATTCGAGCGAGGCTCGGATTACACTTGTTCTGTCTATGTCGATTGAGGACCGTCCGTTGCTGTGGATGGTAGTCAGGTCACAGACTTATTATCCTGAGTACATACTTGCTTATGAGAGCTGGAATGCTTATTGCTCTCTTATCGTGAGTTCTGGCTCTTTTCGGGTTGACTGATTGGAGGCGGGGATGGTGAAGGTCTAAGCACCACACTGAGTTTGGGACTCAGGAGTGGGGGCTTGGAGTCCAAGTTTGGATGGGGACCTAGACCCCTTGACAGGAGAGTGGTGGGTTGGTTTTGCTTGTGCCTGGGGGTCAAGCGGGCGTGTGTTTTTGGTACCTAGCTAGGATACATCGGTTCGCGAATCATCGTGTGATATGGTACGACTTGGCTATGGTCTAGCACCATAGTAAGAACTAGAACTTGAAAGGTGATAAAATGATTCTGATTGCTTACCACCTGCTTGAAAGTAGCATATGTGCTTACATAGAATGGTTAATTAATGAACTAATGATGACTGCTAATAAAATTGAAGATAAGGATGCACGTTTAGTAATGCTTCCACAGATGCAAGAACCCACAAGCCAAATAAGCCTTGCATATCCTTAGAGTCTTTTATTTTCCTCCTGTCGGGTAAGTCTTGCTGAGTACAATCGAGTACTCAGAGTTTTATTCCACCTGTTGTAGGTGATCAGAGGATACTTAGAGCTGACTCTTGTGTGGGGAAACCTCCTGGTGGGCTCAGCGGGGATTCCTTTCGCGCTACGACCGTAGTGTATATTTATAACCCTCATGAAATGTTTTATAAGAAAAGATGTAAAATCTGTTAGCATCTCTTGTATATAAATGTCCGCTATGTTAATACCCTACCATGTCATTAAATTAATCCTGCTTCCTCTATAACTCTGATAACATTGTTATATTCCGTTGTTATAATAAATTGAGGTAATATTCTGGTACTGTAATAAAGTGATGTAAGAAATGACTTAAGAATGTTGTAAGCTTTATTCTCTCACTTATGTTCCTGATGGAAAAATATGGATTTTTGAGTTCTCCCTTGGGGTGTGCACGACGGAACTGCGTAGTTTAGTGTCCTCTCTTGAGTACTTAGTGTCTAATGGAAGACAAGTACTCCTGGGAGGCATTAGATTAGGCGGTTCTGCCATAAGTATGAAATACTTGCAACATACCTATGAAACATCTGAAATACTTGAAACATACGCTTGCAATATGCAGTTTCAAGCACAACGTCTACTTGTTGCTTGGACGAAATGGAGGCTCGTCGTTGCGGAGCTCGACACCTACGCGGAGCTCGATGCCGCGGAGTGGCGAGGGGTGATGCCAGCGGGCAGGCAACTATACGGTCCCGACGACTGGCTGTGCAGCTCCAACGATAGGGCGAGAGGGTGCAGTCCCCCACGGCGAGGCGCCCCCTGCGGTGGAGGCGGCAGTGCTGCCTGTGGCGAGCGCATGCGCTGCCCGCGGCGAGGTGACCCTGCGCTGAAGAAGGTGAGCAGTGGGCGGACGGCGTGGTGGAGTCGGACGCAAAGGTTTGATAGCATGGTGGATAAGGCCTTATGAACGATCGAACATAAGTGGATCAACGGGTGCATTCGGACGGAGGCGGACAAACGTCCTATTCTAATCATTATCATTCAACACAATTCTTGTAGTGAATATCTCCGTCCCCTGATTAAAAAGAAGTTTTGTTCTTTGGTCCCTCAATCCTGCCGCTTTCCCAAACGCCAAGTCACTTTTCGGGGAGGATGAGGCACGTGTACCACCAACCCGCCATGTCGCTCACCTAGCTCGCACCATGGGTCCTCCTGTGTGGTGGAGCACGACGCCAGGAAAGGGATGTGTCGAAGGCTAGAAAGTTATTGAAAGGGGAAAATCAGAAAAATATTAGACCCATGAGCTTCCGGTGGTCCTTTTTTCATTTGAGAGGGCTTCCGATGGTCCTTGGCGGTGGTGAATGGTGCTCACCAAAGGGCCTAGAGTTAGGCATGTGCTAGTGTTGGGCCGAATACATGACCCAAGCCCACGTTGCCATGCATCCCCTCCCATCTTCTATGTGCTTGGTTGTATGGGCCATAATGGGTCTATAGAATAGAAAAAGTCCTTGCCCTCATTTATAAAACTAGATTTTAAACCCTCAACTTTTAAAATAGATTGATTTTACGCCCTCAGCGGGGTTTTTTTAACATGGAAGATGATCCCCATTACTCAATAACTGAGGCCAAATCATTGGCCACCAGAACCGGGGTACAATTTGGAATACTATCTCGAACTGAGACAATACCCGAACTAAGCCCTGCTCAAGCAGCAGCTAAGGAATGCGCTACCAAATTACATGATCGAGGATTATGAACCACTACATTTGAAACAAAATTACCGTGAATCAAATCCTTAAGTTCCCAGATTAGACCACTTCTGTGCTTCGATCAACACCACCCCTGGACAACGCCTGAATCACCACTGCAGCATCAGTCGCTAGGACTATCTTCTGAATTCCCATCTCCACAGCTTTCTGGACTGCTTGCAGGCATGCAACAAGCTCGGCATGGTTGATGGTGGTTTTGTCTGACATGGTGCCACATCAGCCATGAAAAGGGTCAATTTGACCTTTTTAATAGTGTAGGGAGGTAAATCAGATAACAACTAAACTTTTTGAATATTTTCCTTGAAAATTTTATGGAACTAAAAATCCTAAAATCTATATAATCTTTAGAAAATCCATAGAAAGTTTATTTTAGATGAGAAAATTATGAAATCAGTTTTATAGTTTTTCTAAAATCATGCTCTATCTTATGGTGTCTAAATTAAAACTATATGAGTATCCTATGTGGACTCATATTGCATTTTATTTGCTAGTGGCTACTCTCATATCTATTATTATTAGTCTATATTGATAACCTAGACTATGAAAAAGTTCAAGTGACTTTAACAGCAACATAAGTGTCATGTAATGACGTAATCACATCATATTGTGGGGAAGAAGCACTTTCCTAAGAAGATGCACAAATAGAGGAAAAGCATGGCCAAAATAAGCTAGTCTGATTCACAACATATGCTAGTAAGGTAGTATATGTCACTTAGCCTTCTACTTGGTTCTTTTGGTCAACATGAGGGAATAGTTTTTTCTAAGAAAAAGATGACACATATCGGGCCACACTTTGGAAAACTCATGTTTAGCAATATTGCATAATAAGATATCCATATATATGCCTCGGCCTTAGAAACGCACGAGTATATTTGCCTGATATAAATAACAAACATGAGTATTTATAAAGCTGTAAATTAAACTAGATCGACTGTTTAGACTTTAGACTCCATGTGATGAAACCAGATCATATGAATGGAAGTCTCTGACTTGGGAACTAGATGGATTCTTTGTTTTTTTTTTGTTAACTATCCAATAAAACTTCTAGCTAGAATATTCTGGATCAGCTAATTATTTTTTTTAATAATGAGTTTCGTACCCTCATGACAACGACGTGATGATTTTATCCGTATCAGAATATGCCGGTTTATAAGTGCAAGATATGCATATGATTGTAATTTTTGTATTTTTCAAAGACGAACATATCTATATTATCTTGTCGACCGACGACCGTCAACCGGCCGGCGATTCACGAGTGACCGGCGAAAAAGCGAACGGAGGTTATACTTCGTGTCGTAATAACCGTTCGACTTTGTGCGGGCGCCCGATAGTCGATTGACGTCTGAATGCAGGAATGTACCCGTTCTGGAAGTGGGCTGGCTTCTTGTATTGTCTTTGAAGTTTTGAATAGGCCCAACACAGCCCAAACGGCATAAAAATCTTTGAGAAAAAAGTTTATTTGACCTTCTCAATTTTTATCCAAGTCCAATTCGTCTCCACTAATCGGGAGATTGTTTTTTTCTACTCTCTGTCATTTGAAACTGTCCGATTTTACTCCATGAATAATTAACATCAGTTTTGGCCGACGTGACGCTGCATTGGCGTTAGCTACGAGAGGATAAACTAGACTACATTGATAATTTCAGGATGTGTTGGGATCGATACTTTCGGGGAGGCCACCCCCTTAGCTCTTTAGACTACAACATCACTATCGCACATTATTTGACTCCGAGTGAATTACACAAGCTTTAGGCAGAAAAGAGGTGAAGAAGAAACCAAGATGTGACTCCTGAAGGGCAAGAAGTTGGGGAACCCCCAAATCAAGAGGTCTCAAAGATATGTGTCTCCTATGAAGGAATAACCTTTTGTGTATTATCGAGGGTTATACCAGCACGTTGTGGTTGACAATACTAGAGCAAACAAGCAAGGATCACAGAGTCGATGAATTTGACAAAAAGACCATTGTGCCCCCGAATGTGCTAAAGATATGTTAGGTAGTAGATTGAAGACATATCATATTTTTTAGGGTGCTTGATCGCCTCTCCTATAAATAAGGGCCTGTTAGCAACCGAGCCTCTTGCCCCGCACCATATGGCGTTGACGGTGGTGAAGGTAGTAGAGTTGGCAATAGACCATAGTCCCTAGATTTAGAATCCAACGGTTAAATATCTGATAGATTTTTTAACAAAAACGTTGTTGACGTATAAAATGCAATTCCAAAAATAATTATGATAATAGGCGTGATTAATCACACCATAGTCCATAGGCGCCCGCCATATATAGCACATGATGAAGTAATATAACAACACAAGCACGCATGCTCTGATGCTTGCATGATCGATCGTGTGTGACTGCATGCACATCATGGTATATATTATATATATATTATTATCCCCTAATACTAAATCCAATGTTTTAAATATCCGGCTATAGCTGTTTGAGACTGATAAAGCTATTTGGGCTTATTTAGAACTTAGCAACTATAGCCTGCTATAGTTTTATTTAACCTCCCATATAGCTATTTTAGAGGTCATCTATTAAATACCTTTGGTCGGAGATTTAAAACCTCGACTAAATCCAAATAATTCACCGATCAAAAAGCCACGACCTTGCGGTTATCGTTCCTGGCGACCGGCTCCACCGCTTCGTTGCGCGACGACGGCCCGCAGACCGACCCCATGCACCCCAGCAGGCCGCCGCTCTTCTTGCCCTGCCCGCCGCCGGCCTTGTCCGCGCCTTCCGCCGCGAAGCTGACTCGCTTCTTGCTCCCAGTCACCCCTGCCTGCTGCTGCTTGGTGCTACTACAGCTGCTTCCAACGGATGAGCTCCGCACCGGCGACGTCGCCTGGCTGCTGCCCGCGGAGGCGGCGGACCGCACGGCGGGGAACTGGTGCGCGCGGAGCTGGCCGTCGGAGAACACCATGCTGGCTGGCGACGCCGAGCTGTAGCTGACGACGGCGCTGAACTCGAAGCTCGCGTCCGTGGAGGCCTCCACCACCGCCACCGCCGGGGCGCTCTTCCGGACGCCGCCGCCGTGGCCGTTGTAGGTGGGGGTGGGGCGCCGGCGGGGCCCCAGCAGCTTACTACTATCCGACGACGCGCTGTCGACGTTGACGTCGGCTACATGGCCGGCGTCCACGGCCGTCATCAGCTCCTGCAGCGCCCGTGGCGACTTGCTCATGGTTTGACACGTCTTCAGCACCTAGCTAGTGGCAAGTGGTGTCTAGCTAGCTTCGCTGCACAACTTCTAGCTTGTGCCAATCGAGCTGCGAACCAGCAGTGGTTATAAATACGTCATGGCGCCCATGTAGATCCAAAGATGTGCTTGGTATAAGCGGCAAGCGTGGTGATAACATCAAAGAAGGTCTGGGTGCCGGGGGCTCGATCGGCATATCCGAAAGCGATGCGCGCGCTTGTCCAGTTGGTCGGCTGCCCGCTGCCGGGTGTACATCACCTCGTCACGGCAGCAGCCAGCAGGAGCAGCCAAGGTTTCAGCTCGTCGTCTTCCATATCCACAAGTGCTACAGGTCGCGCCTTGGATCCGCGACGCCGTAGGTTCCGGGTTGTCGCGAGGAGAAGAGATCGAGGCGGTGGTGGCCGGCCTACGCGGACGTCTGATTGACACTGAGGGTACTGGACCCAATCAGATCCACACGCCTGCTATGTCATGTGTTTGTTTTCTACGTAAGAGCTGACTGGGTTAGAATCTAAGCTTCGGTCACCAATGCCGACAGTATTTCAGTGTTGCCAACTTGCCATTTGAAAACGATTTCTGTAGATTTTCCTTTGAAACATTATGTCATAAAAGGAATAAGATCAGAAAAACCTTTTTGAGGAACCAGATCAGAAAAACCTTCGAGTATCCAAGTTCAATTCGCCTACTTATATAACCTCTTGAATTCTGAAACCAAATATTTAGTACCCAAAAGTACTCAAAACCATCTAAATTATCCCTAAAGTTGTTTGGAAGTGTTGTTTTGTTGACATAGCATGCCGACATGGATAATCATTTCCACATGGGATGCCACGTCACTCTAAAATTGCAACGTCTTCCTATTGATGACATATCTCTACTCCCTTCTTCTCTCTAACTCTCCTAATCACTGATAATCACCACATCAAGGAAAACCCAGCAATACAGAGGATGATGCACATGTGTGTTATTCATCAAGTAGGTGCCACCTGCCATGAGAGAGCAACTCTGAGTCTAGGTAAAGTTAGATTCCAAATTGTAAGATTTAGCCATTATGTAAAATATAAAATTCATCTAAAAAGTAGAGTTCTACAGCAGCCCTGATAAATTTTTCTTTATCCATATTTAAACCTGTCGTGTCATCTAATTTTTTTTTTACAAAAGATCTGATCGGCTTCGTGCCTTCGTCCACCGCCTGAAGCCTACTTTGCACGGCCAGGTAGAGTTTTGAGAGGGAGACCCACACAGAGACAGCTAGCAGCTAGTGCGTGCCACTGCGTGGCCTGCAGCGGCAGCCGGCCAACCATCGTGCGTTACTGCCAGCAAGGTCCGTTCCTTGTTCCTTGGCCAACACCACGTATGAAAACGGATCGGATACGAACGGATATCACTGATATTACATTTGTTTTTATATTTCTGTCCGGATTCGGATTCGAATACGGATAGTGTCAACCATATCAGATAGGATACGATTGGATATCGATATCATAAATATGCGATTTGAATATTCAGATACGAATACGATATCGGATGTTGAATATCCAGACTCGGATACAAACAGATCTGAACCTCTTTAAACGGATTCGGTCTTTAATACGGTCGAAAAATATCCGTACCAACCCGTTAGAGGAAGAGCCAAGCAAGGGGGACAACGAATAGGAGAAATGGAAGTTTGGGCTTTAGAAGGATTTGGTGTTGCTCATATTTTACAAGAGATACTTACTTATAAATCTGATCATCTTATAGCTCGCCAAGAAATACTTAATGCTACGATCTGGGGAAAAAGAGTGCCTAATCACGAGGATCCGCCAGAATCTTTTCGAGTGCTCGTTCGAGAACTACAATCTTTGGCTCTAGAACTGAACCATTTCCTTGTATCTGAGAAGAACTTCCGGTTTAATATAGAGGATGTTTGATCGGAATAAATATAAATTTTTTTCTTATTTCTATTTTATTCCTAGCCAACACCGCCCGTCCGTGCTGCTGGCAGGAACGCCCAATAAGCAGCATTCAGCCAGCTGCAGGACATGTGGTGCAGTGGTGGTCAGCTTTGGTCAGTGGTAGCTGGCTGGCCGCAACACTTGAGGCCGTCCAATTAGCGCGCGGGAATGGTTTGGCTACACACATAGCAGGACTCGATAGGGAAAATTGAGCAGCGAGAATGCTGAGATACCCCGTCGGGAAAAAAAACAATATAGATAAATTGTTGGACTATTTTTTAGGCACAATAGCTATAAAAAGTTTCACAGATGTATTTACTTAGCCTTTTGGAGTTGCTCTGACAACGTCCATGTAATCTCCCACGTTAATCAAACCTCCTGTAACATTATCTCAGGGCCTCTAAATTTTAGAGCTCTAAAAGGTTTAGAGCACTTTAGCTCACTTTCGAGCTTTAAAAGCTCTAATATGATGTGGGCTAAAGTTTAAAGCTAACTTTAAACTATTTGTTTGGAGCTTTAGCTCTAAAATTTAGAGCTCTAAAATTTAGAGGAGGAAATCCAAACAAAGCCTAAGACTATTTAGATGGTTTCGATAATTAGGCATCTCATAACTTTAGAGCTTCAGTCCAGAAACCTCGATACCTGAGAGGTTTATATATACTTGCATAAGTGCATCTATAACAATGACCCCTAAATCAGAGCCCTTACTTTTCTAGGAACCACTTGTCAGTCACATAACTCTTTTTTATTTTTTTCTCCCATCTCCTACTCCCTTGCTTTCGTCGTCGTTATGCACCGCCAGAGTAGCTTGCGCAGAGGAGCCCTTCCCACACAAAGAGAAGGAGGCCACGCTGGGAGGAAGTAACTGCACCTAGTGAGGGGCCCGTCAGGAGCCAACGCTGTCGCAGGAGAGGCTGTCACACCGGGAAGGACCGATACAGATCATGTGGGGAGGGGAGGGGGCGAGACCGCACCGGAGTCGAGTGTTGGGGGAGGAGGTAGCTACGTCGGTGGAGGGCTCGCTGGTAGAGGGCGCTATGGGAAGAGTCGATGAGGACGGCAGTGAGGAGGTAGTTGGCGCTGGAAGCATATCTTTGTGTCGAGGATGGTGGATCCATGCTAGCGGACATAGGAACGTGCTACGATGGAGAAAGGCCATGGCAGAACGATCCTAGCATCGGATCTAAGATCCAAGGACCTACCGGAGCGGCTAGTGGCAGCGGCATGGGCATGGGCCAGAGAGCGAAGCCGCGGGTGGGAGAATAATTCGTACCGGCGTGAGCTTCTATCCATAGAAAAACATATTTAGCCCCTCCCCAAAAAAAGCTCCCAAAAATGAGGACTTGGTAGAGGAATTTGAGGGTCTTCTACTTTTGAGGACCAAGGTAGGATATGGAGGACATTTTTTTTTGCTCCTCTGCCCTAGAAAAATAAGATAGGAACTGGTTTATGTGCCTCACTGGAGATGCTCTGATTTGCTGTTTTTTATAGTTACCACTAAAGGTGTTAGTTAAATTATTTAGTACATTAAGGGCAATTCCAATGAATAGTTTCTAGAGGCAGTTTTCAAGAAAGAAAGAGAAGAATTAAAGTCCACTTAAACTATTCTTTTCAACTATGATTTCTATAACAGTTTCTATACAAAGGATAATTTAAATGCAACACAAAAACAAGTAGATCTAATGTGGCAAGCAACCATATAGCCTCATTGCACAGTCGGGACTTTGCGCTCATCGGAACAACCATATAGAAATTGTGCATCAAACACAACAAGCAACTTTAGCAAACAAACATATATTAATCACTAGCAATCATATAGCGTTGGGTTGCATATTGTCTCATGAGTACATGGCTCATCGGACTGCAGGCCCATTTGATTCTCGACTGCAGGCCCATATCTACTCTGCCATCATCGACTCTACTCTTTCGTCTAATGGATAAGGTTCTGTCATGGATGAGAAGAAACCAGAGCGCCACCGCCACCAGCACCCGACCCCCAGCACTACGTCGCTCCACAGCCAACGCTCGGTTCTAGCGCCGCTCGCCGTTGCCTGGCCCCAGCACCACGACGTGCAGCAGAACCAGCCCCCCATAGCTGCCAAGCTTCATAGGAACCAACGCGCGGGAGGAGCGATTCGAAAGCGGGCGCGGGAAGAGTGAAGCAGGGGCGCGCGCGGGAACGGAGGGAACCAGAGCGCGCAGGAAAATTGGCGATGGTGCTAGGGATCAAGACAAGAGGAGGAAGAAACAAACTGAGTCTCCCCAACGCTATTTCCACCATTTCTTAGCGAATGGATACACGAGAAGACTCGGTTTCCTTCGGAGAAACAATTTCTCTCTCTTTTTTCTTCTCTCTCCTTAATAAAGCTACTGGCACGTTAGCAAGTTGCTGAGCTATCAAGATAACTAATGTGAATAGAAACTAACATCAATGTTTCATTGGAACTGCCCTAACTTCGAGGCATCATACCACGTTCAAGATATCATTTATTGTACAGAGGAAGGAGTATAGTAACCATATAAGGGCGTCCGCAACTGTGAGGCCCAAATCGCTAGCTAAGTTGGCAGAGAGATAAAATAGAGTAATATTATTAGGCTTTCTTACTATTCTTTATTGCACATGGGTCCCATCTTCTCTCTATGTCTTCTCATTTCACGTAAAATCTATGAGCTATTTGCTCGTCGCTATCTAGTTCTCTCTCTCCTTATTTCTTTGGCCACGTTAGAACCCAAGCTGGCTACGTCGCTAGTTGTTGGAGACGCCCTAAGAGGTTTTTGCATGCTTTCCTTACATGTGTGTGGTCCAATAAACAAACTATTGTGTAAGATATATGTAGTGATTTATTTATGCGACATAGTAAAAACTCGTAAATAACTCTTATAGGATTCAATAAAAATAAAATTTATGAGTTTTGGAAACACAAAGTTAAGTTGTACCTCCATCCTAAATTGTAAGACGTTTGACTTTTTTAGCCCTAAGTTTGATCACTCGTCTTATTCAAAAAATTTGTGCAAATATAATCAAATTTAAGTCATTCTTGAAGAATT